TAAATTTATCGTTATAGTTATACATTATTTGTCCACGTTCGTTAGCGTAATAATTCTGCATATAAAATTTATCTGTACCACCTTAGAAGGCTTATCGTTATGCATAACTTATTTGTGAGACGGGGCGCCCCGGTTGAAATTAGTACCTAACCAAAGTCAGTCAATTAACTCATGCCACATATATTTTTGAACCTTATCTGGCCTAAATGCGCACAATGCATGCACGTACTATGGAGTATCAAGTCTTACATGGCTCTATAACTCGTGATGCATACACTTACATAATTTATAGAATTCTTTGCATTACAGCGTTATCGATAGAAATTTCTCTGCGTGGAAATACATGTCTCAACTTCTATAATAGAAATTTTTTTATGTAAGATTGCATGTTTTTGCTTCAATCTAACCTTTCTAACATTTGAGTTTCAGAGAAGAGGTGAAAGAAAAACATATAAAAGGGCAGTATTTCGAATTTATTCTTAGTGATTTTTATTTTCTTGATCTTAATATACATATCGATATTTACTGTTCATATTTCCAAAACATGTCTAACCCAAATTTTAAAAAAGTTCTTAATTTCCTCACCACATCTCCGATAGATTGTATCACACCCTATTCAGTTCTTAATGAAGTAATGGAAGATGAGCCATTGATTCAACAAGAGCATTTGAGAAAGATAATAAACAGTGCTGTTTCTGAAACAAAAGATATGTACTCAGGAAATTTGAATGCATTAAATAGGCTTCAGAAAATCCAAACACAGGTTAGTAATTTTATTAGATATGTCTTCCAAAATGTATCATCTGATGAATGGCGCCTTTCCAATATTGGATTTTCGAATTTGTGAAGGCTTTAGTCAAGGGGAAAGCCTGCTAACCTATTATTATAGATTCAACTCTATAAGAAATAGTGGTAATCCTGGGTGTCCATTAGTCTGTTAGTACCGGGACTTCAACGCCTGCGGACGCATGAGGACACTCTGGCTTTAGTCTTACAAATTTTAAAATTCATATGCAGAAAAATGGGGAGGCATGGATCTGTAGGCCACAGAGAAATTGCAACCCCATTATATATTACTCTGATGACACAAGCTTGTGATAGAAAGTATATTTATGAGTATTGAAAAATCTAATATATATCTGTTTTTACGCCAGTTCGACGATGCCTTCGAAGGTATTCGTAGTGTTTATAAAATAAGAATAGAAAGAACTTCCCTTACTGACCGAGAAATCAGTCGTAACATAGCTGATTTAAAAAGACAACTTGGGGTAAATATAGAAATGTATAAATTACTACTTTCATTTTGTGGTAAACGCATGCTTTGCTAATACCCGATATTTTTAATAATTTTAAGGCATGTTCTTCTCCATTTGCTGAAGAATTACAAATAGAGCTGAACAACTTACCCGAATCAGATTTAACATGGGAGAATCCACTGGCTAGTAAAGTAATCAGTGATGAATCTGACTTAGTTAAAAAATTAAACTGGGGGCCCAAACAGTCTTTTATGAAACTCAAACAGCGAATGCAAGTTCAAACACCTTCCAATATAGAAAATATGTGTAATAATTTTGCTGAAAATTTTCATAATGATAACGTAGAAGCTTTACCACCGAAGTTTTCTCATAATAGTACATGGAAGGAAAGAGAGGAGGTGTTATCAGATATTACTGAAGAAATTCTCTATTCCTTAGGTAATATTTGGCGAAATCCTGCCTTCGATGCAGAGTTCGCAGAAGGTCAAAGTGAAGGTACATACATAACAGATGTAATAATGCCCCTTATTCGAAGTGCACTAAAAAAGCTTCCGATCAAGAAACATGCTTTTCTCAGCACGTAAGTTTGAAAAAAATTTTATTTATTAAAATAAACAAGCAACTAATTTATATTTTTTTTATTTCAGGGCTGAAAGACAAAGCTTAGCCAGTGCTGATAGAAGAGCAATTGATGGAAAACAGGGTAAACGTCCTGATATTATGCTTATAGAAAAGCATCATGAAAAGCTACATGAACTTCTATTCGCTGAATGTTCTCGCCTGATTTGTAATGATAATAAGAAAAAAGAGGATGAAGTAAAATTATGGCGAGAAATGAACGACGGAATGTATTATGTCCACAAAACATGTAAGCCCGATAAAGATGAATTTGGGATCATCGGTATACAAATTGCGGGGGATGAAATGCGTTTAAATGTTCTCATTAGAGATAAAGATGACATCCATCGGCTTTATCATTTATGTTCTGTTAAAATTCCGGTAAGGCCATGTAATGGTAATGATGTATTACGTTTTGTAGAAGCACTTTTACTTCTACGAAACATCTTGATTGTCAATCTATCTTTATTGCATCATTCATTAAAAATCAAGTCCTCAAGAAATAAGCGAAAAAGTTCCAATGTAACTAGTGATGATGAAAACTAAGTCCATTTTATATAGAGCAATAGAATATATTTTTTAGAATTATATTGTATTTCATTTTTATTCTCATATCAATAAAGCTGGCCCTGGTGGCCGATTTCGCATACATAATCACGTTTACTTTTGCATGTGTATTTCGTGAATTTATTTTATTGTATTGATATCGATGTACATTACTCGCATATAATCGAGAGCGAATTTTTCTCTCCAAATTAGAACGCACATGTGATTTTTTTACTTGCCATTTTTTTCGTATAATTAATTTGAATATATCCGTATTTTATATAAAAAAAATGGAAAACACCCAATCCACAATTGATTCATTGCGGGAATTGAATTCTAGGCTCGTATCCCAAATCGATAAACTTAGATATAAGTTTGCTGAGGTTGAGGCTGAGAATATCAAACTTAAAGCTGAGAACGAGAAAGTTAAGGCCGAAAATACTGATATTAAAGCTGATAATATGAAGTTAAAGCAAGCTTTAGAAGAACATGAAACCAGAATCACGAACCTAGAACAGAAAGATAAAGTAAAAGCTATTACTAATGTTTCGCAATCTTCTAATGATACTCCTATATCTGATATATCTGACAATGCTTCAGCACGAATGTGCAGGCTCATGCCAAATTCTGATGTATACCAAGAGACGAAGACCCGATGCACCACATCACCAATCTACATAAAAACTAAATCTTCTGAAAATAAAGAATGTGACATAAAAACCGTTTCCCAGGGAAACGATCGTGATAACTCATCATGTGACATAAAAACCGTTTCCCAGGGAAACGATCGTAATAATATTGAAAGTAGCGTAGATATTGCTTCCCAAATAAGCAATCAGCAAAAAACTATTCCGAATACTTCTTTACCGGCAGAAGATCTTGACGATTCTGATGAAATTGAGCTCACTAAAAATCAAAATATAGAACTAGATTTAATCCAAGATTTACAGAATTGTATACTTATTGCTTCACCTGATTCCATAGAAATACCTTCCAAAGACATCGTGGATAATGAAAAGCCATTCTCTAAAATTACAACACAAAGCTTAATTCATTTATTTATGAAAGCAATAAGATCTGGGCATCAAGAAATTTTATCCTGGATTTGCTATTCAGACAATTTTGAGAATAAAGTTATTGAAATTCGACACAAAAGAGGAGTTAACGATAAAACTGCAAGAACCCAGATATACAAAGAAATGTTAGAACATTTACCGGGTGTTACATCGGGTGCCTTGCGAATTAAAACTCTTAGGGCCAGAAAAATTCATAAGCTATTTGGAGCAAATGGAGTTGGAATTGACAAGGTTATGTATGTTACCTGCAGTGCAAATGATATTTCAAAATTAACTAATGTACAAATTCAAAACATTATAAATCAAGTAACTTCAAAAACCGTTTCCCAAGGAAACGATCAAAATCATGTGACTGAAACAGAGGTAAGTATTACATCTAATTTGGAAGGTATGATAAATGAGAACGTCAAATCTTTAACGAAAGCTGAGGTAAACATATCATCTAATCCAATTCGTGACCGCACCTATTTCTGTAATAAAATAATAGAACAATATCCTAATTTATATAAAGAGTGTAGCGATGGAAATGACGATTATTACGGAATTACTGACAATACATTATGTCCACTATGCAGATTAGATCACGGTGATGATGACATAGAAGGAGAATATAAAAATGGAACTTACTATATTAAATGTGAACGGCGCATAGTTCAAATAACTGCATAAACTTTAGATGCGAAACATTCCTTTCATTTTGAAAAGTCCTATGCTTTATAACTCATTAGTATGCAATAAGGAATAATATTTTTTAGTACGTGATATCCAATGCGAGAAATTAAATTACTTTGGAAATTATATAAATGACAACATGGATACACAAGCCTGGTCTGATAAAGTATTAACCTCCGAATATTTGGATTGGTATTCCAAATTAACTGATTTGCCAACCACCATATCAGATAAACTTCGTTCCAAGTTATATACAAGGTATAAGAAAAAAACCGGGCTTGATCCCTGGATGAATGCCAAAACCTCTGAATCTTCACAAATCGAAAAGACTGATAATTACCTTTCACAAGATTGTGTTATCAAAATTTCTAAGTTTCCAGAAGAAAAAAGCACAATCCATGAAGCAGTACATAAACGCTTCCCTTTCTTGACATATACTAATTCAAATGCATGGCATCGGGATGTATTTAAATATACCAATTCAGAAGCCAAATGCCCGATATGTAAAGAGATACATACACGTTTAGGTATATGGGGTGATTGGAGTTGTCTAGGTAAAAATGATCACTATTTTCTTAATTGCCCTTTTCGTATCGATCAAAAGAAAGTTATAATTGCTATACAGAGCACACCAGAAATTCAAGTAAATGTACCAAACAAAACCCGCCTTTATCAGCCAGAGGCAGGCTTACGCCAATATGCCATCGAGCATAAAATGAATCCTGAGAAATTTTCAGTTATTACAGAAGCTGAGAAAACTAGGTGGACCATGGGATGTTTTCGTGGGGATTTGGAAAGAGATATACGGTTCTATCAAGGCGGAATCGAGAGGAATGAAGATACCAGAAAATATCACAAATTTTTAACAGATCGGGATAGGCTGGTCGGTGAAGAGTTATTACGTCGTAGTATACTAAAGAGTGGTTTAAGTACTGCATGGCTTGACGATCTGATGAAAGAATGGGAAGAAATCCATACTCGATTTACACAAATTTTTAGCCAGTCCTAGACAAAAAATAAATCACATTTTGCCAGTAATCTTCTCGTTTCTAATAAAAAAGCATGATTGTAAATAAGTATCATAGAAAGTTCTAAAATTTTTTCATTATATAACTATATTTCCATACACGTTTAAATTTTGACCAATTCACATAATCACATTAAAATAAAAAATGGCGAGCCCGCAGGACCCTCTTTATTTCACACTACACAGAGTGCAAGACACTCCAAAAATAACATATTTCAAAATAATGGCACTTCGTGCCCGGAACCTTGCTTTATTAATATAAAAACTTTACCGAAGTAAAGACATATAAAAAAAAAATATATCGCTGTTACATAATGCGAATACAAGAAAAAAAATATATTATTCCTTTGGTTTTACGATAATATGAATTTGATTTGGATCAAAAGTTCCATTTTTGAAATAATCAAACATTTCGGCCGTCGAATTCTTAGGAATGATAACGTAGAGATCGGAATCTTGATGATCTTGATTTTTCAACAGACCCTCAACTGCGTGTTTAAGCATTGCAACCTTATCTTCCTTACATACCTCAATATTAAAACGTTTACCATCCGGGAAAAGGCACTTAAGGCTAATAGGATTTGTGGTCATTTTTCGTACCTAAATACAAAAATTCGTAGTAAGTAAAAATTCGTTTTCATAGTCTCCGTTAAATAAAATAGAAAATTACTTTAAAAACAAATTACGGGCAAGTAAATCAAGTAAAAATATATATGAGCAAAAAATAACGTTATTAATAACTTATCTTATGGGCGGGAACTTGCTTATTTTATACCGTCCATTCATTAGATCTAAAAAACCTGCCAGAAAAAAAGTTACACGATTAGTAATTGCGGTAGGGCAACGCAATCTAGATCCCACCATGTAAAGCAAGTCTATTCGGTCATAAGTCCTAAATGCTGAATCTATTTTGCCATTTTTTTTAGTTAAATTTGACCCCTTAGATTTTGCCGATCGCTCAGAGTGGGCTAGATCTCGGAGATGGCGGAGATTCCAAGTTCTTGCGACATATGAATTTTGACAGGCAAAGCCTGGGGTCTATGACCCATAAAACTACTGATTAAGAACGTTGTACTCTTTACCCTTATAGCCTTTTTAAGTCCCATTCTTATCGCGGGATCTTATATAAGGTAAGAAAAAAGTTCTAGAGCGAGTAGTTATTAACTGTTAATCAAAAATCGACCGTGAGAAATGATTCTGCAGGAGAGTGACACCGCATAAAATTTAGACCCGAAGGGTCACCCTACTACTTCCAGGAATATTGTGATACTCGGCATTTCTATTTCTTCTTTCGGTGATTAATAAGCTCAATTGATCGTCAGTCCACATCGCTAAGATTCTAACGCGTCTCAACCGCGACTCAACTGAGGTATGACTTTTTTTCATATAATTATATAAGAAAAATTCAACCGCGACTCAACTACAACTCAACTGAAGCATTTTGGACTGAGCGATCTTAAATGAAAATAATAATCATTATAGCACATCAAATATATAAGTGGTATGATTAGTATGAACCAAGTGCCGATCGATCTACTGGTAATCATTCACGATTTACAAATAAGTAGCTAAGCTTAATTTAATCAAAATTCGAAATTACACTTTTGGGAGTTATTTCGCATTTATATGGAAAGACTAATTTATACGAATGGCCAGGTGGTGTGAATTGGTGGGGGAGATAAAGTCAGTTAGAAGCACGACGTGCCATGAATGATCTTTATTTCATAAAAATCGCGTAAAAATAAAAGATGGCAGGGGCACGAAACCCCTCTCTTTATTTCATAAAAATTATTGCCGGAACGACAATATGCAAATAAAAAAAAATAATCGCTGTTATAGGTGCGAATACAAATAAAAAAAAATTACTATTTAATAAAAATATAAATTAAAAAAAAATTAATTTCTTGGGGGGTCTACGTAAATATGAAGGCCATTTTCATCAGGGCTATCAGCGAAGTCTTTAGAAATTCTAACCATTGGTTTATAAATCGGACCATTAGCGGATGAACGAAGGGTGATTTGAGTAGAAGGAATGGAATCAAATAAAGGTGCTAAGCGTTTTTTTACCATATGTTTGAGCAATTCATACTTTTTGTCATTAGAAATCTCAATCGTAAAAGTTTCATTTTCACTGCTACCACTGACGAGACAGTTAAGATTAATAATTGTCATTTTGGGGGACTCTGCAAGAAATATATAAAGAACCCATAGTAAGTAGAAATTAACTTTAGGAATAAAAAATCTCGTATAAACAATATATGATAACCGAACCTTGGAAGTAAATTGCGAATATGAAAAATTTTTCAGAGAAGCCGACACGGCAAAAAATATATATGAGCAATGTTATTGCTAACTTACCTTATGGGCAAACCGCTTATTTTTATACTTCACATTCGTTAGATCTAAAAACCTACCAGAAAAAAAAGCTACATGATTAGTAATTACGTTACCCTAACACAATCTAGAT